AATTCAGTAAATGTTAAAAGAATGAATGAATGGCCTTGGCAGGTGTGGCTCAGTGGATTGAGCGTGGGCTGTGAACCAAAAGGTCACCAGTTCACTTCCCAGTCGGGCCACATGCCTGGGTTGTGGGCCAGGTCTGGCCCCTAGTAGGGGCCACGTGAGAGGCAACCACATATTGACGATCTCTCTCCCTCTCTTCCCAACTTCTAAAAATAAATAAGATCTTAAAACAGAAAGAATTTATGTTTCCATGTGTTTATGTGTGTGGACACGTTTTACATGCTTGTCTCATCATTGCATTCTTAACCTCCAGGGCCTGGCTCTGAGTGGATACTTTTTAAAAATTTTATTTATTTTCAGGCAGAGGAGCAGGAAAGGAGGAAGACAGGGAGAGAAACATCAATGTGTGGTTGCTTCTTGCTCTCCCCACACCGGGGAACCTGGCCTGCAACCCAGGCATGTGCCCTGACTGGGAATCGAACCAGCGACCCTCTGCTTCACAGTCTGGTGCCCAATCCACTGAGCCACACCAGCCAGGGCTGAGTGGATACTTACTGAATACTTGTTGAATTGATGAATAGATGAGAGGCTGTGTTGAGGTTACATATATAAAATACATCTCACCAAGCCTGGCACATAAGAGGTGCTATAAAACAGAAGTGTAGCTAGTTTCCCCTAATGTTCAGGTTCCTCCTTTCTGATACTAAGAAAGATTTTACTGGGTAGGTGGCCACCCAGAATAAAGACTACATTTCCCAGCTTCCCCTGCTGCGGTGGACGGCCACGTGACAGGTTCTGGCCAATGGAAATGAGAAGTGATGGGTTCCCTTATAGGACAGCTGAGTATCCTCTGTTTTCTTTTGCCCACTGGCAGGCATGAGGCTTTGAGGCCAGGATAACCATGCCCGATAGTCAAGTACACAGATAATGAGAGAAGAGTGGGGAGCCATCTTGAAATGTGAGCAAAGGTGGAGCAACAAGATAGCGGGAGCCTGGGCTCTGATGACGCCACAGAGCAGGGCTGTCATACCCACACTTTATAAGCCAAAAACTCTCCCCTCTCCACCCTATTTAAGTCATAGTTATTTTGAGTGTCTCCATTTCACACAGCCATTACGGATGATTTTCTTACGTCTTCACCCCCAGCCTGGACTCCCCAGTTCTAAGACCCCTCCCACATCACTCACTCCTCCTCCTCCTCCTCCTCCTCTGCTGCCTGCAACCTCTGTTCCTTCCGCTGCTGCCGGCAGATGAGGATGGCTGTGGCGGTCACAGCGGTAGCAATGATGGCAGCGATGATGCCCCCGATGATGCCGCCCGTGGCCCCTGCACCTGCTGTGTTGGGGGACTCTGCAAGAAGAGGGACAGTGAAAGAGGCTGTGGCTTTCTCCATGAGGAAGCCACGGCCCCTTACTCCCAACCGGCCTCCCCAAGTCACCACCCAGCTGCCGCCTCAAAGGCAGGGGACAGACCTTCTTTCATTCAACTAATCTTTATCGAGCACTTTTTATGGGACAGAGTGGCGAGCAACAAATATACAAGAGTCCCCAAGGGACTAGGTTCCAGTTGGGCAGGGGGACCAACAGGACAGAAACGAGGAGAGCTAACACACCAGGTGGCAGTAAGTGATGCGTGATAATACCGCACAGTGGGGAAGGTGATGGGAAGTGACCGAGGCGGCAGAAAGCCTTACTGCAAGGTGACATTTGAGCAACAACCTGAAGGGGCTGTACGAGGTGAGCCATGAAATGCGAGAGCAGTCGGGCAGAGAGAGGACAGCCAGTACAAAGGCCCTGAGGAGGAAGCTTGGTGGGGTTTTTAGGACCAGCAAGGAGCAGAGGGATGAGGGGACGCGCAGGGAGGCGGGGGAAGGGAAGCGGCGGGGAGGGAAGTGGATCTGAAAGGCAGAGAATTGTGGGGGTGGGATGCTGGGATTGGGATTGTAACCTGCCATTCATTACCCTCCTTCCCAGGGAAGGAAGTCGTCCTGGGAAGAGGGTCGGAGCTCCTCCAACCGAACAAAACGGGAAATGGCCTGAGAGGCGCGCATGGCCCCCTGGGCTTCTCTTGTGTAGCACTTTGCACTCTCTAAAGTTATTATTGGAGCAATTACCTCCATGCTTGCCAGTTTGCACACTAGGCTGTGAGCTCCAAGGGCAGGTTGGCTCTGCTACATGGGTCAGGAGGGGCGGGCACGGGCGCTAGGGACCTATTATATGCCAGACAGACAGAATTCCTGCCCCGGACCTCTGGGCTCTGCCCTCCCATGGTGGGGAGAGGAGCGGGGGGATGGGAGGGGGTGGTGCAGACAGTCAACAACCAGAGGAAGTGCTGTGAGCAAAAGCCCCATGCACAGGCTTCCCCCTCTCGGGTCCAGGAAGCCCACTCCGTGGATGAGGCGATAAAGGCCCCCAGAGGAACCGCGTCTGCATCCCTGCCCTGCCCTGATTTCCATCCACACTTCCCGTTCCACGGCCCGGCCTTCTCAGGAGGATTTAAGCGTGGGAGAACTGAGCAGAGCCATTGCCGCTCAGTCCATCCGGGCCCCCCTAAAATTACTGTTCCTCTCGTCGTCGTCCTTACTGACTGCATGTCCGGGAGGGCAGGGTTGCGCCTGCTCTAGTTCCCGCTGCGTCCCCAGCAGCTGAGTGCAAATCAAAATCAGTAGAACTGAACTCATCGGCAGTGACCTGCCCCACACTTGGCAATGGAGCTCAGCCTACAGAGCTGCGTGCCTGCCTGGGCAGCAGAGACAAAGCCCAGGGTGTGGCCTCAGCGGGTGGGGAATGAAGTGACTGGGATTTACCCTTGCCTCTCCCCTTCCCCCGCTTCAGTCCCCAGCCTGGGGGTGGGGGCATTAGGTTAGGGGTACAGGACTGCAGCCCCTCCCTCTGAATCGCTGAAATTCCCTCTAGCTGGGCCCCCAGGGAAAAAGAAAGAGGAAGGAGGCTGGGAAAGGCCAGTTGGAGGGGAGGGACTTTCCTGTTTTCTCAGTAGCCCCGCCTGCCCTGCACCGTGGGGCAGAAAATGCCAGGGGGGCAGCTGGAACCTCTGAGCCCAGCTCCCCGTCCCACTGGCCTTGAGGGGGCGGGTCTCGGCATCCACGGTGTCCTTCAAGGACCCAAATGGCGAGAGCCCACCAGCCTCCCCAAGGCCAGCCCCACTAGGCTCCCGCAGCCTGGAGCCCAGTTGAACTCTCCTACCCCGCAAGGAGGGGTCCAGTGTATCTATCACAAGACACCCCCGATGTTTTCCTGCAAGGCGTTTATTAACTCCTGAGTGTCACAAGGTAGGGGCTGGGGCAGACCAGAGCCAGAAACAAGTCTGGCAGGGAGGGGGGCTCCTCTGTGGGCCCCTTTGCCCCTCCCCCACACGGCCCTGCAGACAGAAGTCCAGTGTGTGATAATCCACCTCCCTCTGCGTCCCAGGAAAGCGGGAGGTAGCATCTGAGCTCCAGTGTCACCAGGACAAACGAGTCCGACCAGTCTGGAGCCCTTGGCTGGCACTGGTGGGCTCTGTCTCTGTCTGTCTGTCTGTCCCGGGGGTCACACATAAACCGCCCGTCGGGAGATGAGGGAGCCGTCCAGCTGGGACTCCATGTCGTCCTCCAGTGCCGGGGACGGAGGCAACATGAGGCCTTTCTCTGCCTTCTCCTCCTCTTCCTCGTAGCCCTCTTCCGCGTCCTTGCCGTCCGGCGTCAGGGGACCAGGGGTTGTGGTCCAGAAGACGGGGCCCCCGTTCTCAAACACTTGGGTTTTCGGATTGTAGGATCCTCGGCCGCTGTCTCGTCCCTCTCGTCCTTCTCCTGCTGTTCCTCCCGCGCCTCCTCCTCCTCCAGGGCTCTTCCTCCTCCTCCTCATCCTCAGCAGGATGAAGGCCAAGGACCCCCCAGCCAGAAGCAGCAGCACCAGCAGTGTCCCCCCCACGGCCCCCCACACCATGGGACCCTCGTCTTGGGGAGAGGCCCGGGGGGTGTCTGAGGAGAGAGGAGGGTGAGAGAGAGAGAAAGGGAGACACGCGGTCAAGAGGATATATCTCGGGGGACACTGAGGGGGCAGTGACAGGAATCAGGGAGACGGCTGGGCACAGCGGAGGGGGGGGCAGGGTGAACCCACTCACTCCACTGCAGGCTTTGTACCCACAGGGGCTGCCAGTTGGAGGCTCCCCCCAGGTGTCCTCTTTCACCTGCCCCGTGTTCCTGAACCCGCCAGCCAACATTGCAAACACCAGCTGATTTCACCGAAAACCCCCGATTTCATTTAGCGAGAGAAAAATTCAGATCTGGCAGTACCAAGGTCTCATGTCCCCGACCTGGTGATGGGCAACCCGGAGGGAAGGCTGGTGGCCGGGAAGGGAACTGGGTTCCACACCTGGCCACCAGGTCGCATGATGGGACCCAGGAGGTGTGTGAGTCTGCGACCCCTTGAAGATGGATGAGCTCTGAGGCCAGCGTCATGAAATTTCAGGGCAGATCCAGCCAGAAAGAGAGAGAGATGGATTCAGCCTGAAGCTGTCTGGCCCCAAAGCTCTCTCTGCCCTTGAGGGAAGGACTCCGAGGGGGAGGGGCCTCCGGAGAACTGCCCCCTCAGCGCTGGGAGAACCTGGTCTGGGCAGCGTGGTTCCTGTCCGGGCCACCTGCCCCCAGTGTGGAAAACGGGGCTTAGCAGGACTATTGTCCCTTCACCCTCTAGTGCTTCCTGCAGTGGCTGAACAATAAGGGAAAGATGGGGGGGGAGTGAGAAGGAATCCAGGGAGGGCTGAGGAGGGAGGTGTTGGAGGGAGGGAGCATGGGGGGCGGGGCGCGGGCCACGCCCAGGACAGACGTGCTCCGCTGGGAACCCGATCACACCTGCCCTTTCCCCACCCCCTGCACCCAGCAGGTGGCGCAGGGGAGAGACCCGGAGGGATCCAGTTACACCAGACCCTCCCTCCACCCTCCACCCTCCACCCCCGCACACCGAGGGGGCCGCCCGCGGTCCTGAGGGCATCCGTTTCCGGTGTCTTGCACGCGGGGCTCCCCAGCCAGTAGGCTGTCAAATCACTTTTAGTGACTCACAGGCCGCAGTAAAAAATAGAAAAGCTGCACCTCAAGTATGAAGGGTAAACAATACTTTGTGAGCCTCTTTGAGGGGGGCTGTGTGCCTCCCCCAGACGCTAGGTGGGGGCGCGGAGCGGACTTCGTCCACAGGGTCTGGAAACCGGCTTTCGCCCTCGGGGTGGAACTGTTTGCCCGATTCTGGGGGTGGTGGTTTGAGGCGGCAGGTGAGTGTCCGTGGGTTGAGAGTTCTCCGAAGTCTCCCTGAAGTGACCTCAGCCGCTGTCGTCATCACCCCCCCCCCCCGCTGGGCCTGATTGTTTTACTGGGTGAACACCAGCAGGGGCTGAACTCCGGACCCGGCGTGTTCCTGGTGGTGGACAAGCCTGGCGTTTCTGTGTGCATGTTTTTGAGGGGGGGACATGTTTTTGTGGCTCCCTATTCCTCCGATGGCCCTCCAGAGTGACTGTGTTCGGCAGGGGGCAACCCTTGCAGGTGCCTGTCGACAGAGTGTGGGTCGGGACCCGTTTCTCAGCTACGTTTCTGGGTTAGAGCTTCGGGGTGTATTTCCAGTCGGGTGCCTTGCTGGGAGGGTGGGGCGGTGCTTTCGGGGTGTGCCTTGGAGGGCAGGGAGTGTGTCTCATCCACCACCGTCTTCTCTGTGTTAGGGAGAAAGTCCGGCTAAGAGGAAATGTCTAGATGACTATTTGTGGAAAGAGAATCTCGGTAACGGGGTTTCTGGGGAGTTTCTGAGGGTGTGCACCCCAAGCCTGTCATGGAGTTTCTCAGTGAGTCAAGATGTGATTGTTGATTCTCATGGCCCCCCCCCCCCGCACGTCTGATGACTGAGTGCCCCTTCAGGTGTGTGTCTGTGGACCGGAGGTGACAACATGCTGAGGGCGGGCTGGCTGTCTCTCCCAGCGTGTCGTCTGTGACAGTGTCTCTGAAGAGCACCATCACATCTCCCTGGCAAGTGCCTGCCTTCCTGAAGAGGCGCCGGTTGTCACCTGGGTGTCTTTTCTAGATGTGTGTGCGGTGTAAGATTGTATCAGGAAAGGGATCTGCTTCCATCTGGGGTCGTGCTTCTGAGGGGGCCAAGCCCTGGTCTGCGTGTTGTTTGCACAGGTGTGTGTCACAGACAGTCACGCAGGGCGGGTGTCTCCCTAGTTAGGAGTCTGGCTGGGTGTTGTCCGGCTTTGTTCACCGTCTTGGCTGGTGGCCCTGCCCTCTCGGGGTGTGTGCCGTGGTGACAGTGTGTGGGTTACACCACAGGCGAGTCTGTTTTGATTCCAGCACATCTCGAAGCACAGGGAGGCCCTGTTACCTGCAGGTGCAGGTCCTGCCGGCCGCACCTCTGACAGGAAGGGGGGCTCTGCTCCCGGCCACAGGGCCAGTGGGTGTCTGAGTCTCGGGGTGCCCGGCCCCGTAACATCCCTGCCTCCCTCTGGGGCGTGTGGGTCTCCAATTGTGATCTCGCCCCCACTTCCAGCTGCCCGTGGGCTGGCTCAAGCTGCCTTGGCCCTTTCCCTCTCTAGCTTTGCGCCCGGGACGCTGCGTCTGAGTTCACGTCAAGGAGACTCGGAGAACTTCCTGCCCACAGAGCCCTTCCACCAGCAGTCACCATTTCCCAACTGCCAGCTCCAGAAACACAAGTGTTCCAATGTGCAGTGAAAGCGGCTTCCAGACCGCGACGACCAGCATTCCCCGAGAAACTCATGTTTGCCTGAGAAACACGTGGATCTCTCTGCATTAGTCCTGTGGTTCTGTGGGTGCGTCTCCCTGGCTGGAACCTGGGGCTGTGTCCCTGACTCTCTTCCCAAAGACCCTTCCTGGGCCCTACCTTCCGGGAAGCCCCCAGCACACGTCTCAAGCTCCCAAACTCCCCTGCCAACACCTACCCTGTCACCCCAATCCAGATCCACCTGGGGGCAAGAGAGAACGGCCCCGCTGCCCTGCTCTCCCGTCCATGAGGCGGGTCTGGGTCCCTCCCCCAGCCGGCGGCACGGCCTCTCCCAGCGCAGCCCCGGAACCAAAGGAGCGGACCACCTGGGGAACAGGCCCGGCCGCCGCGTGCCGCCCCCAACGCCAGCTCACCTCGGACGAGGACCACCTGCTCGGCACGGCCTGTGCCCAGGGCGTTGCTGACGGTGCAGATGAAGGTGGTGTTGACCAGTCTGTCCACCGAGTAGACAATCAGCTGGGAGCCCTGGCCTTTTGCTGAGGCTGGTAAGTCACCTGAAGTCCTGGAAGATGCAGAGGTCCCATGAGGGGGACAGCAGGGACCACAGAGGAGCACCGGCCTGGTCCCCGATGACGCAGCCCTCAGGAGCCCACAAGCTCCAGGAAGCCACCACAACTTGCTTCCTGAGTTCAGACCCCAAAGTTGCCAGCTGCCTCCCTCTGGGTGGACTCATGGTTGGGGCCCCCGGCCCCCCTCCCTCAGACCCCCCCCCGTCCGGGTCCCCCCAGGACTCACGTGCTCCAGACATAGTCTGTGGGCTCTGGGTTGCTGTGGGCGTCACAGTTCAGGGTGACGTCACTGCGGCCGAGGTACCAGTTGTCATCATAGCCGGAGATGGTGACCTCAGGGGGGTCTGGAGGACATGGGGGGACTGGCTCAGAGACGGGAGCATCCCACAGGGGCTGAGAGGTGAGCAGGGAGGTGGGGTCCTGCAGAAAGGGGACGGGCTGGCAGGCGGGGGACCCGTGGGAAAGGTCGGGAGTGAACCGTCTGGGCTGCGCCCTCGGCCGAGGCCAACGCAGACTCTGTTCACACACCCTCGGGTCCCTCGGGGAAAGTTTACTTTTTTCAGTGCAGGCAGCACCTGAGGGAACCACTATAGATAATGTGTGATTTCCAACACGCCCGGAGCAGATAAGAAAGTCTAATTAAATCTTGGTTTAACCATCGGAAGGCGCTGCCTGGGGAGCAATGTGGAAAATGCTGGGTACGGCCCTGGCTGATGTGGCTCAGGGGATCCAGCACCGGCCGCCTGCCAACCGAAGGTTGCCGGTTCGATTCCCAGTCAGAGCACATGCCTGCATCGCAGGCGAGGTCCCCTGTTGGGGGCGGACAAGAGGCATCGGGCTGATATCTCTCTTGTGCATGCTGGTATTTCTCTCCCTCCCTTCCCCTCTCCCTAAAAAAATAAATAAATCAAATCTTTTAAAAGTGCCAGGGTCTGGGGTGTGTCTGGAGGGTGGCTGACAGTGAAGTCACTTGGTGGGTAGAGAGCCAGGGTAGTACTGGGGGTGTCAGCGTGTGCCACGTTCGGAAGAGCTGGCACAGAACACACAGGCAGTGGGCAGTGCTGACTTGGCCCGGTGGGGCCCACAGGAATCATTTTGGGGGCAGGAGCTGGTGTGGAGACCGAAGGAGAGTGAATTTACAGTGTAAGTGGGGTGGGTGTGTAGCCACCGCCGTGGGCTGGGCAGCCCGAGGAGTCCACACGGCTGGTGGAGGCGGAGAAGCTATTGCTGGGGGCAGCAGGTCAGTGTTGCCCGGGGGCCGGTGCAGAAGTGTGGACAAGGGACAGGGGGCGGAGTCTGGCTGGAGCCAAGGCAGACAGCCCTCAGGGACGGTGCGGACAGGGTCAGGGCACGGCCACATCCAGACGCACTCACAGCGCACAGAGAGGGTCACCGGCAGCAGGTCTGGCTCCTTGAAGGTCTCATGCTCCACTTTGCAGGTGACCTTGACACCATCTGCTTGGCTCGAGGGCACCAAGGTGTAGCGGCTGGTGACCGTGACTGTGCCGAACACGGGCCCGGCCACCTCGGTCTCCCTGGCCTCTCCATTCAGGGGCGAGAACCAGGAGATCCGGGCGGGTGGGCGGCCCCCTGAGGAGACGCAGCGGGCCACGGGCACAGGCTGGGAGCCGACGGTGACCTCCTGTGCGTCCACCTGGTTCTGGGGCTTGGCTGGGGGGAGAAGACAGAGGGTGGTCACTCCTCACCTGCAGACACTCAACAAACCCATCCGCGGCAGCGCCCCTAGTGCCTGGGTCCAAACCCCAGCTCTGCTTGCTTAGCAGTTGCCCAGCTCTGGGCAAGGAATCTCCCACCTCTGAGCCTCAGTTTCCCCTTGTGTAAAGGGAGGATAATAAAAGTACCCACCCCACGGAATTGTTGTAGGGACTAGAGAGAGATCCAAATAAACTGAACAGTGCCCAGCAATCACTGTTCTACATGTCAGCCTTTATATCATAGAGCAGTGTCCAAAAGCCCGGAAGAGGCTGGGAGTTGAAAAGCCAAAGCAAAATAATGGGGTTCAGAGATCCAAGTGAAGGGGCCGACCCTTGTCCTGGAATGGTCATCAGACTGTGGAGGCAGAAGTGGGAGAAAGGCAAGGAAGAAACCTGCAGCTCATCAGAGTTTTTAGCCCCTTCAAGCATCCCCTCGGAAAACGTGGAAAAATATGCCCTGGCCGGGTAGCTCAGTTGGTGAGAGCATTGTCCCGATACGCCAAGGTTGCAGGTTTGATCCTCGGTCAGGACACATGAAAAATCAACCAGTGAGCCCTGGCTGGGGTGGCTCAGTGGATTGAGCGCCAGCCTGCAAACCAAAGGGTCGCCGGTTTGATTTCCAGGCAGGGCACATGCCTGGGTGGCGGGCCAGGTCCCCAGTAGGGGGCATATGAGAGGCAACCACACACTGATGTTTCTCTCCCCCTTTTTCTCCCTCCCTTCTCCTCTCTCTAAAAATAAATGAATTAATTTTTCAAAAAATCAACCAGTGAATGCATAAATAAGTGGTTCAACAAATTGATGTCTCTTTCTCTAAAATTAATTTAAAAAAAAAAAAGGAAACATGGAAAATACCAGGAGGAATACAAACCTCCATGAGGAACAGTGTGAACCCATTACCGACGTGTCCACAATCAGACTGTCCCCCGAGTTCTTCATCTCTGGTTCCTTCTGGGCCTCTCCATCGGGGTGTCTCCTGAGCTTCCTAACATCGGATAGCCCTCCTCTCCTTCCCCCACCTCCCCGGCCACCACAGCCTTGGATGGGCCTCCCCACATCTTTCCCTGGTGCCCCTCCCCCTCCCATCTGTCCTCTGCCGGCTCCAGGAACGCCACGCGCACCCCCACCAACCCACCGTGGGACCTTGGCTGCCCCATGCCTGACACTGACACCCTCTGGCCTCCCTTCTCCTTGGCCTGCTCTCCTTCCTTCCCCGATCCCAGCCTCACTTCCTCAAAGGAACTTTCCTGACCCCCCGCCCTCTTGCTCGATAGTGGCGCTCACTTATTCTGCTCAAGAAAGCAGAGGTTTGCCCTGGCTGGCGTAGCTCAGTAGGATTGAGCACGGGCCTGCGAACCAGAGGGTCGTGGTTGGATTCCCAGTCAGGGCACATGCCTGGGTTTGCAGGTCAGTTCCCAGCAGGGGACGCACGAGAGGCAACCATACATTGATGTTTCTCTCCCCCTCTCCTTCCCTTTTTCTCTAAAGATAAATAAATAATAAAATCTTAAAAAAAAAAAAAGCCTGATTACCAGAAAGAGGGACAGCCATACATGGATGTTTCTCTCCCTCTCTCCTTCCCTTCCCCTCTAAAGATAAATAAATTAAAAAAAAAAAGAAGAAAAAAGACAGCAGAGTTGGCTACGCTGTGCCCCTGCCGTCCCTGATGTCTTGAACAGAACAAATGATCGCACAGGAGACCTCTGCCAAGGGTCGGGGGAGAAGAGCTGAGCGCTGACTTATGCAAAACCACTTGTAGTTTCAGCTCCTTAAAAAGAGAAGCGTTTACCGGGAACGGCACAGGGTTCACCCCTCAAACTCTCTGGGGCTGAGAGGGGGAAAATGAGGTGTCGGGAGTGACATGGCTTCCGGAAGGTCACGGAGGAACGGCGGGATTTCCAGGGGAAGGCCAAGATTAAGGGGGAAGCAGCATCCTCTGAAGGAACGCCCTCCCTGAGTCGGCCCCACCCGATGGAGTGGTGGTGCCGGAGCCAGAGGCGGGAGGAAGTCACCCTCATGCCGGAGCCAGAGGCGGGGAGTCCCTCTGACCCTCTTCCCTCAGTGCGTGGACCAGCGCCAGCTCTCTCCGAAAAGCAGCCTTTATTCTGCCTGTTCTACTGCTTCTGCCTCTTCCAAGCCAGTGCCTTCTCTGCCTGGCCTCCCAGCTTCCGTCTCCCTTTATCTTCCCCATTCATGCCGTCCTCCCAGTTTTGTCTTTTTATAATTTTATTTATTTTTATATTTTTAAAGATTTTATTTGTTTATCTTTAGAGGGGAAGGGAAGGAGAGAGGGAGAGAAACACCAATGTATGGTTGCCTCTCGTGCGCCCCCTGCTGGGAACTGGCCCGCAACCCAGGCATGAGCCCTGCCTGGGAATTGAACCGAGATTGAGTGGTTCGCAGGCCCGCGCTCAATCCACTGAGCTACACCAGCCAGGGCTTTGTCTTTTAATAATTTTAACACCCTGCCCCGGGTGCCCCTGTGGTGCTCCGATGATGGCTCTGGACGAAGCCTCGGAGGCCCACGCAGCCTGGCCCTGTTGGCGTCCCCGCCTCGTTGAGGGTCATTCAAGCCCTGGCCATCACCGCCCCCACCCCCCGCAGCCTCCTTTCTGTGCCTGGAACTTGCCAGGCTCCTGCTCACATCCCAGCTTCTGCATATGCTGTTCCCTCTGCTGTGCTGTTCCCTCTGCTCGTGGCTGCGTGCCCATGGGTGGGCTTCCTGTACTTCAGGACTTGACTAAGAGGCTCTCCCTGACCATTCTACCTAAATAAGGCCACTCAGGGCGTGGCTGGTGTGGCCCAGTGGATTGAACACCAGTCTGCACACCTTAAAGTCGCTGGTTCGATTCCCAGTCAGGCCACCTGCCTGGGTTGCGGGCCAGGTCCCGGGTAGGGGCATGTGAGAGGCAACCCACTGATGTTTTTTCTCACACACTGATGTTTCTCTCCCTCTCTTTCCTTCTCCCTTCCACTCTCTCTAAAAACCAATAAATCAAATCTAAAAGAAAGAAAAGAGGCTACTCGGTCTCTTACTGTATTACAATGTTCTGGTGTTTCGTCTGTGCACTAACGTGATTATCCTCTGGCTTTACCTCTAAAATCCTTCCCGCCCCCTCCCCCCTCCCCCGTCTC